AGCGTGCATGTGACGTCATCACAGCGCGACGGAAAAAATTAAAAATTGAAANAAATAAATAAATAAATAAATAAATAAATAAATAAATAAATAAATAAATAAATAAATGGAAATGGACCCAGGAGTTGCTCCCCAGATGGATCTTCCTTTCTTAAGCAATTTAAGAGCATTGCCACCATCCTGCAGACTTCCCTCCCTGATTTTTCTTTTCTTTTTCCTGGCAATCTATTGTGGACGGCCAAGCAGAACTGCAAGAGGTATGGGGGCCCAACTACCAATTTTTTTTAAAAAAAAAGAAGGTGCAGCCCAAGACCATGCAGCCCGCTCCTCACCCCCACCCTCAAAAGTGCCTCCTGTTGGTCTTTCCTCCAGGGAGGGGAGCAAACAAAGATGATCGAGGGAATCCCCTCTGCTTCTCCTCTTCACCCATCATCCCATCCATGCGGACCTCTTCAGGGTGCTGGGCTTCTTGGACCTCTTTCCTCCTCCCCCCTAACATCTGATCTGATGGCAATTGTGGCTAAAAGCAAAAAGCCTTTGGAAGCTGTGGCTGCCTCCCCCCCTATCTTTTGCAGAAACTCCTCTCGCTGCAGAATTGGGATCGCTCTGTCTTCCCTGGCTTTCAGCTTTCTCTTGTCTGATTATCTTCTCCTGCCCCCTCCTCCCCCCTACACAGTCTCAGTTGCTGCTTGGAGTGGGGGAGATTTCTGGTTTTGCAGGGCTGAGAGGAAAAGGAGAATGATGAACAGGCCCTCCAAGGCTGCCTACCCCTTAGTGTTTTTGCAAACAAATTCTCCCCCCCTCAAACAGAGGACCCCCCACCCACCTGAATAATGCATGACAGATCAGGCTGGGCCCATAACTAGGGAACATCTGGGGGAGAGGTTGCAGCAGCTCTGTGTGAATGGAGGGAGAGGAAAAAAGTTCAGATTCTCTCTGCTGCAGCACTTAGCGTTGAATGCTATAGCAGAGAGAAGCTGAACTTTTTCCCTTCCATTCACAGAGGAGCTGCTGCTCCCTTTATGCCTTCCCCTGGCCCCTACCCTCCCGGGGATAGAAGTACCTGAAAGGGACAGGCAGGCTGCCACAGCTCCCTTCCAAGAAGACTCCCAGTCCCTTCCCTTCTTTCTTTCTTTCAGCAACGGCAGCAATAGCAATAGCAGTAGACTTATATACCGCTTCATAGGCCTTTCAGGCCTCTCTAAGCGGTTTTACAGAGAGTCAGCATATTGCCCCCAACA